TTTTTCTCATTATGGTTTATTACAGGATATTGAATACAGTTCTCTGTGCTATACAGTAGGACCATGTTGTTTCTGTATTTTATATATAGTAGTTCGTATCTGCTAACCCCAAACTCCTAATTTATCCCTCCCCACACCCTTTTCCCTTTTTAATCATCCATTGGTTTTCTATGTCTGAGTCTATTTCCGTCTCATACATAAGTTAATTTGGGTCGTATTTTAGATTCCACGTATAAGTGATATTTGTCTTTCTCTTTCTGACTTACTTCAGTTAGTACAGTGGTTTCTAGGTCCATCCATGTTGCTGCAAATGGCATTATTTCATTCAAAGAGATATTTTTCTTAAACAAAGACCATTCCAGTTGTTGGGAGGAGCTTTACTGCTGGCTCTTAGAATAATAATCTTTCACTTGGTTCCCAGGCGTGTTTTGTTGCTTTGATTCTAGTGATTATAAACTGTAAAGAAAAGGGGATATGTTAGTGTTTGCCCTCATAAAAGACCACCCAGTGTTGAAGGCCAGATTAAAATGGAGATTATAGTGCACCTACTCACAGTGTGCTATACTTAACACCACATTTATCTACACAGCCACTGTAAGTGACTCATTGTTTGGTGATTCTTGTGTCATAAGAGCATTTTGGGGGTTCCCTTGTTTGGTTAGCCTTTGCTTATATCATCAAAAACTTAAACAGATGAAATAGTATGCATTTCAAGTCCTAAGGCATTTTAAGAATGGACTTCTACAATCCATCAGAGGTCTAGTCCTACTTTTTCCTAGCTTTTTCCTTATATTTTATTATAAAAATTTCCGGACACATATAAAGTTTGAAAAAAATATATAGTGAACACCCATATACCTGCCACCCATATTCTACCATTAACATCTTACTATAATACTTGCTTTATCACATATTTATCCATCTATTCATTGCTCTTTCCACCCATCATTCCATCGTATATTTTGGATACATTTTAAAGATTGCATACACTTCCTCCTAAACCCTTCAAACCCATATGATTAACTAAAGGTGAAGTTTTGTTTACAATTTTTTCCTTTTCAAGCAAAATTTGTCTCTTATGAAACGAGCAACTCAAGTGTATGTTTGCTGAGTTTCGACAAATATATACATCTTTGTAATCCAAACACCTGTTACAAACAAGACAACAGGCCCCAAATGACGTCACTTATGCTCAGCCCCACATCACCAAATCGAGACTTAATTACAGTTTTGGCTGTCCCAGAAATGGAATCTTAAGCCAGTCCATCAGGATTTGCCTATTCAGCACCAGTTAATCTGCCTGATAGACCCCTGCCATCCCGTAAAGGCAAGTAAACTTGCAATAACCAACCCACTTTTTTGTCTGTATAACTTCCTCATTCTGCTCCTTTCTACCTATAAAAGTCTTTCATTTTGTACATTGGAGCTCCTTTCTATCTGCTAGGTTGAATGATGCCTGATTCATGAATCACTGAATAAAGCCAATAAGATCTTTAAAATTTACTCAGTTGAGGGGACTTCCCTGGCGGCCCAATGGTTAAGACTCCACCCTCCCAATGCAGCGGGCACAGGTTTGATCCCTAGTCAGGGAACTAAGATCCCGCATGCTGCAAGACGTGGCCAAAAAAAAAAAAAAAATTTTTACTCAGTTGAATTTTCTTCGTTAACACACCTATCAAAATGTGCCATATTACCACTACCCCCAGGAAATTTCATATCCCTTCCCTGTCAATGCCTGCCTTTTATCCCTTTGATACCTGCCTTTTATCAACCACAGTTTCTAGTTGATTTTTACTCTGTCATTTTATCAGGGAGTTCCCTCCCCTCCATTACTTCTACTGAATAAGCCCATCCCATGATTTAAAAATAACACTTTTAATGTTATATTCAGTCGCCCCTCAGTATCTATAGGGGATTGGTTCCAAATCACCCCACAGATACCAAAATTCACAGATGCTCAAGTCCCTCATATAAAATAGTGTAGTATTTGCATATAATCTCCCATACACTTTAAATCATCTCTAGATTACTTATAATACCTAATACATGCTATGTAAATAGTTGTAGATACAGGCATGACTCATTTTATTGTACTTCACAGGTATTGCATTTTTCACAAATTGAAGGTTTGTGGCAACCCTGTTTCAAGGAAGTCTATTGGTGCCATTTTTCCAATAACATTTGCTCACTTTGCATCTTGTGTAACATTTTGGTAATTCTTCACAATTTGCCAATATTTCAAACTTTCATTATTATTATACTTGTTACGGTGATTTGTGATCTGTGATCTTTGGTGTTACTATTACAAAAAGATTATGACTTGCTGAAGGCTCAGATGATGGTCAGTATTTTTTTTAGCAATAAATTTTTTTTAAATTAAGGCATGTACATTTTTTAAGACATAACGCTATTGCACACTTAATAGACTACGGTATACTGTAGACATAACTTTTACATGCACTGGGAAACAAAAACATCTGTGTGACTCTATTGTGGTGGTCTGGAATCAAACCGGCAATATCTCCAAGGTATGCCTGTACAATGTTAATGCTATGTAAATAGTTGCTTGCATGCAGTAAATTCAAGTTTTGCTTTTAGGAACTTTCTAGAATTTTTTCCAAATATTTTTGATCTCCTGTTGGTTGAATCCACGGATGTGGAATCCACAGATATGGAACCAGCCAATAGTGAGGGAGGGCTGACTTGCAGAATAACGGTTGCAGCCTTTAATGCAATAGTACCACTTCTATTTTATCTTAGAGAAATAACCCCAAATATGGAAAATACCATAGGCAAAATATAGATACTTATCATAGTGCTATTTTTCTGTGACAAAGTGAAGCCCTAGAGTCTAATTATGGAAGGGTTTAAGTGTATTTGAAGCTCTGGCGACACAGAACAACTTTGAATGTTTAGCTAGGAAAAGTTTAGGACAATCTTTGTTACATCATTACTTCTGTTTGACTAATGGTGTAACTTTTACATAAATAATATCTTTCAAATGTTTCTCCAGAGGCTCATCCCCAATACCAGCATTATGGGATTTTACTCATTCTGGAGCATCCCATGCTAAAGTTTAAGAGAACCTGGTTGCGTATTTCTCTTCTCTGGCCCAAATCTCAGCACCCTCCCCCTTCATCTGCAGCACTCTGCCATTTCACAAGGCTGCAGATGAAAACATCTGTCTGTTAATTACCTGCAGGGGCAGAGGGTTAGAGAAGGGAACAGGAAAGAGAGAGTTGTCACATGTACTTCGTTTTTCTGTTTTGCCATGTGCACCTTTGAAGCAGAATATTTAGAAGTAACCTGACCCTCATACCGCCCTGCACAATCTTGTTTCCTAGCTCTGAGGTGAGTTATTCTGTACACCCTAAAATAAAAGTGACATTCAGACACACACACACACACACACACACACACACACACACACACACAAGAAAACACCTCTCCCATCCTTTTTCCTCCCTTCCCCTTCCCAAACCTCTAATTGCCTCTTTAAAATGACTGTTGTCATGTTAACGAAACGGTTAGGTGTTATTTAGGGGGCTCGGTCCTTTATGTCTCAGCGTAGAAAGAATTCAGCGAGAGACAAACTGATAGGTAAGAAGTGATTTATTAGAATAGGACACTTGCGAGGCTTAACAAGCAGTCAGGCAAGCATTGTGATGCCCCGAGCACTTAGTGGGTTACATTTTTATAATCAGAGGAAGAGAGAGGACGGGGAGAAGACCTTCTTTGTCTTTCTTGAGTAGATGTCATGCTTTCCTCATCAGTTCCTCCTCCAGATTGGGTTTTTTGTCCCTACATAGTCAGGCCAGGACTGTCATGGCACTTTGGAAAACTTATTTCAGGTCTCAGTACAATGAGGACCTTTCACTTTGATATGTCACCTTTCCATAAATGATTGTTTTTTGTGTGCACAGAGCATGCCACCATTGTTGTATTGTATTGTTCCGGGGCATGTCTCAGGCTTCTGTTGCATTATTTTGTTGCTAATCAAGCTAGCTTTATTTTGTTGTTAAGCAAGCCAATCTGGCTTTGATGCTAAGCCACTTGTTCTGCTTTGACCCAAGCAAGCCCTCATTTTTTCAGGATTTTCCCATTACTTTCTTGAGTGATCATTAATCTTACTGTGGTCTCCCAAAGCTCCCTAAGGTTCCCTATCAACAATCCCCCTAATGGGGTTTCTAAGCTATTTGATTATCCTACTCAATCCCTATCATTAACAACACAGAATTATGCCAATGACAAAGTATCGAGAAAGAAAACAGAATAAAAAATTTTATTATCCTATTTAAAAAGATGACGTAAAAGACTAGAGGAAAAAAAATCCCAAATGCCAACACTGTTTATGTAGTATCTAATTTTCCCCCCAAATTTCCAAAATGTCCATTATATTCGTAATTTTATAAGAAAAATAATTTTAAGAACAAATCTATGAAAACGGAATCCCACAGTTTCCAGATTAAGCTGGCCAGGTTTAATCTGATTGGGGCAGATGCAGCAGTTTGAAATGCCAGGTCTTTTGTTGGGGATGGAAGAGATGGGCGGGGCAGGAAGGACGGTCCTCGTGGTTATTTCTCTGTAGCGTCTCAGTTCTGTCGCACAACCCAAGTCAAATCAATGCATTAAACGCCTCTTCCTTTCTGCTTGTCCCCAAAACGGCAAAGAACGACGTAGTGGGGCAAAAAGAACACCCTGAGCGCCGTTGCAGGGATCCTAGTGGGCCAATTGGGCAAAGGGCGCGCGAGACGTCGCTAGCCTCTCCACCCGCCCAAGCCCCGTCCCGCCCCAGCCCCCGCCCCAGCCCCGCCCCAGCCCCCGCCCCAGCCCCCGCCCCAGCCCCCGCCCCAGCCCCCGCCCCAGCCCCCGCCCC